TGGATGTTTGCACAAAATATCAGCAAATATTCTCATACTCTGAGAATATTCATTCATTCTCTGATTGTATCTTTGAAGTTATTTTCTTTTGCTGTGTAAAAACTGATGTGTATCAGGGGCTTTGCGTATTGCAAGTAGGGATTTTATCACATGTGCAAATTCATTTAGGGAAGATGATTGCTGTTGCTAATTGAAAACGAAACCTGGTAGAACTTTGGACTGTTTATTTTTGCTTTCTGCTGTTCGAGCATAGTTGCCCAGCAATTCTAATTCCTAATGAATAATATTTTATGAGGGCTTGGGAATCTAATTCCATTTTAAGATGTGCAGAAAATTTAGGGTATTTCAGAAATTCAGAAATTCTATTCAAGAAGCAGTGAAAGGTCTTAGGAATGCCAGACCAACAAACTTGCACTACAGAATATAGAATTGTATACTTCCTGGTGAAGAGAAGTTTTTCATAACTGAGGAGAGGCTCAAGTGCTGCCAGGCAGACAGACTAGTTAATTGGTTTGTATGAGACTGAGTGAAAGGATGGTTGAAGAGGATGTTGACTGTAGATTGGTAACAAGCAAGTTACAAGGAGAGCATATAAGTTACCACAAAGGTATCCAGGTGCTTTTCCAAAAGGAAGTAAAAATTTCCCTCTTGCACACTATTCCTATCGTGTGATTTCCTCTCTCCTCCTGTTTACCATTGCATTTACAAATATTTCAGTGTCCAGCTGAAGCTGTTTTGCTTTAGCGGAAATTTAGCTACTGCAAATTCATTCCAAGTCTGGAAACCAGTGAGGACTTTTGGACAGGGGCTTCTGGTTGTTTCCTCTGGAAGAGTTCTGCTTGCAGGTGACAAAATGTCTTAAGAGTGTCAAGTCAGTATGATGCAGCTGGATGCAATGGAAGACTTGCATCAAAATTATGTTGCTCCAAATCAAATGCTTGTTGTCGATATGCCCATTGAAGCCCAGTGCATACCATGTAACACCATGCCACAACTGAAAATGCTATGGAAGACAAAGAAAGTAGCTGAATGGTTTATCTCAAAACTTCAAGAGAAATTAAAATTTGGATGTGTTTTTAATTACTTTTTAAATCCATTTTTCCTTATTCCTAATTACAAACAACTCAGAAGAGTAAATATTCCCTGAACATGAAGTGATGGGTTTTTTATTTGATTGTATGAACCTGCAAAAATAAAAGCCTGTAAAAATAAATATTTTAACTTACTTTTGCTTTTTTCAGAAGTTTGGATTTTTACCTGTTTTAAATGTTAGAATTGGTATAAAGAGTATGGGATCAATGTCTCTAGGATTTACTCCCACAGCTATTTACCTAAAGTCTAATTGGTACTTACATGGATTTTCATGTTGTCTTGTTGGCAAGATCAGACCTTTGAGTCCTCTTTTAACACATTCATGCTTTCATTTGACAGGACTATTGTGGTATAAAATATATACCAAAGGCATATTTTATCATCTGTTTTGACTATATATGAATGCTGCATATACTGCATATGTACTGTATGTATGAAGCTATGTTTTATTTATACACACTGCAGATAATACAGGTATCAACCTTTTGACATTAAAATGTTATGATAACTGTAATATAAGCCTACAAATTAGCAGTAGACTACTTATTAAATTGAGCAACAAATGAGTTATTATTACGTATGAACATAAGGAATGCATTTTTAGGGATTTTCAAGTTCTTGCTTATGTAGCTCTTAGAGCTGAATACTTCTGCACCTAGATAATTGATATTTTCCCTTCCAAAGTGAAGAAATAAATTTTCAATCACTGGGATAAAGAGGATTTTCAAAAGGATTCTTGAATGCTTTCTAACTTGTTGCAAGGAGAACTGGCCTACAACTTGTCATTCTAACAGAATGAAATATATAGTGTTGGAATATGGTTAGTAAGTTACAAAATCAGAATTTACTGTGACTATGAAGAAGGAACAGAAGAAAAATGACAAAATGGAAATGCCTAAAGAGAGAAGCCTGTTGGGAAATTCTAGAGGACCCAGAATCATGAGTGATGTAGTAATCCTGTTTACATATAATAGAGAAATGCCATTTTACCTATTTCTGGTTGTAAATGAATTATTGGAAGGCGTATAAGGGGAGAATGAGCCATTCAGTGATGAGGCTCAGAGAGAGCTGTTCTCCTGCAAAATCTAGTCAGATAAGAATAATTTAAGGTTTTTAAATGGGCATTGAGCAGGAAATTAAGTAATTCCTAGGCTGTGAATATTTTCTGTCTATGGAGTTTACTGATGTAAAAAGATTATAAGCCATGAATGAACTTCAGAAAATTTTCTTAGGCCTTTGTTTGCTTCAGTAAAAAAATCATTATTCTAAAGAAAAATGTCTTCATTTTAGTATTCTTAGTAGACTGTGGTCTGTTAAATATCTTGAGTTTTAGTATGTCCACCTCAAAAGACTACAGGCTCCGTGGAATAAAACAAGTACTGGGAAATGTAAATCATGCATCCCACAGTATCCTTCCCTTGAAATCTAGAACAACTTCATGTTACATCAAATTTGAATGGTACTACATTTTTGTTTAAAGTCAGTCTATTTACCTTTACAATTTTATTCCACTCATTTAATTTTTAAAATTTATCTTAATTCAAAACTGATTTTAGAAAAGAGGAATATGTTCTAACTGTGAGCTATCAATCCATTGAATCTGAAGCATTTACTGAATATTGAAGCATCTGTGCCCAAAAGTTCATAGACTTCTTGTATCTTCTTGCAGGGTAAATTATCATCCCTGATAAGAGGGTCTGCTGCCTGTGCTTAACCTGGATCTGTTCTCCTTGATTATTATTATCAGTGAATGTCCCATTGTAGCAGTAAACTTGAGCTGCTCTGATAGAAGCAAAAGTGTCTTCAGTTTGACATGCTCTGTTGTGACATTTCTGTGTCACTGAAACATGGACACGTTAGACTTCCTGTTTAAGTGAAGATTATACCCTGAATCCTTTCCACACTTGATGTGTTGTTTTTGTCTCTTTCTTTTCTAAGTTGGCTCAGAAGGGCATGGATGCCTACCAAAACTTTTTTCTTCTGGGCTGGATGTTAAGAAATCTGTTCGTGAAGCTCAGTTATTCCTTTTGATCCCTCTTTGCTGCTGAGACCATGAGACCTTGTCCTAACCCTAGCACTGTGGCTGAGTTATCAAAAAACATCACATTGTCAGCCTCAGTCACTTTGCTGATCTTTGTGAAGAGAATACGATTCTGCAGGCATCTACAAAGCTGAATGGCAAGCACCAGGAGCATGTTGGGTATTGCATATTATTTTCTATATATTATACATTATCTGAAAAGCAAAGACTGTATGTACTATATGAAGAAAGATTAGAAAGAAATGGTGATCAATGGCTGCCAGTCCTTACATGTGCATAGGGAAATTGAGAATAGCAAACCTGAGATAGGTCTGGAAAAGAAAAAGGGAACTGCACCTTTGTATTTTCTTGTGATTTAAAGAATAAGGTGATGTTCTGATGAACTGAATGGCTAGTTTTCAAAACAGAAACATGGGACACAGTAGCTTGAGAAAAAAACTGCTTTTCCAAAGCAGAGCATATTTTTTATCTTTGCTGGTCATTAGAAGTGCTTCTGAATACAAGCCGTTCATGGGGGAAGTCATGCTGGAATACTCTGAGCTGGTGATGATTTTAAACTTCACGCAGCATGTAATAACTCTGAGTAATTGGTAGGTATGTGAGCTTCAAGGACAGTGATATTTTTGCACTTTTGCCTGTTTAATCACAGTGTTTTGTGGAAGACACTGCAGCCGAATGAGTGCTAGAATGCACAGCACTGGAACACAAATATTAGTACATAAGGTGTTGTTTAAAATACTTATTCAATGTACAGCAGGGTTTAAAGCAAGTTAGGTGTGTGTAGCTGACAGGTCTTGTTTATAGATTCTGTCTCTTTCAAAAAACTTTTTTTCTGGTAGGTTTTTGGAGTCATTCTTATGGCAAGGACATGGAACAGTGACTTCAGAGGTGCAGCCTGTGTGCTGATAAGCAGTTACTAGAGCATGAAGAATGAATACCTGATTTTTAGAAATGTGATAGGTGTTACATTTATACAAAGGGAAGCTTAAAAAAACATTAACTTTATTGCAGCATACACAGTGATAATGACACCAGTTGGTTTTATAAGTATAATTTATTGTGCTTTCTTTGATCCAGTGTTACAAATTAGGATCACTCATGTCAGGAGATTAAAACCTTTTTGTCTGTCTTTGATATCAAACTATTCTTTCCTAGTACCTTTTATCTTGCATAGCAGTGCTGAACTCCACAGCATCTTTGTCAGTTCACTTGTGTTATTTGCAGCAATAATTTAATTTTAGAACTGATATTATTTAGTCATATTGTCATTTGCAATAACAGAGGGTCTTTAATATCCTAAAAATGTTGAGAGGCTTTGGTATTAGCTGAGTAAGCATATGAATAAGGGAGAAGAGAGAAGAATTTTGGGGCCATGGTGAGCGTGCAAGATAGCTAAATTGGATAGAAAAAGAAAAAACCTATACAAGTCGAAGTGAGATTGTACATCAGAAAAACTACAGCAATCTACTGAAAATTAGTAGATGATAGTCATGAGAACCTTACAGTGAACCACAGGTACCAGCTTCCCTGAAGAACTGAAATAGGAACTTGGAGAAGCTTGTAAAAGGTGTCCTCAGGGAATCTTCCATTTTTTCACTATGATACCTTTAATCCTAGAATTGTCAAGCCACATGGAAAATAATAGGACTGAATAGTTCAGTCAGTTAAAAGTTAGAATTTTTTTATCAAAAATATTAGGTGTTTCAGGTTTTTCTGTACTTGTTAGGAATTGTATAAACTTTAAAACAAGTGAAATCAAGTAGTGAATCTGTATTGCTGTTTCTTTTTAAATTTAAGATAATTTTCTCTGAGTAAGCAGACTCTGTTCAGTAAAAGCAATTAATTTAAATACAATCTTTTTTAACAGATGATTCAACGAGAGGCAGAAGTAAAGAATAGGGTAACTGCTGTGGCATTGACAGACTCAGTTCACAATGTGTGGCACCAAGAAGTTGGAAAAACTATTCGAGAGTGGATGCGAGAGGTAAAGCCCTTTTTTTAAAAGAATTTGAGTATGTACATCTGTATATGACTGAATAAATATGTCTTGGTGTGAAAGACAATATAATACAAAACAGTGGAGATCATGTATCCATACCAGCCATTAAAACAACCAAGATTAAAGCCATTTCTGAACTGCCAAGTTAGCAGTCAAAATACTAAGAAAGAATACTAAGCAGGAAGTCCAGTGTTTCTTCCTGATGCACAGCAAAACATAGAAATGCCAAGGCAGCCCATGCAGTGCCTGATACCTGGATCAAAGTCCTGGTTGCACCCAGTGCTGCTGGTTTGATCTGGCAGTGGTGGAAAATCCTCTTTAAGCACTTAATGACTCAGTTTGATGATTTGCACAAATGTCTTTCTCTCAGCAGCTTTTTGATATATAATTACTCCTGTAGGACTTGGCAGCTCTTAAACTTAGGTATGAGGTTGATGAGATTTTGAAAATCGTATTTTAGAGAGACCAACTAAACTACTGTTTATGAGTCTTGTCCTTACCAGATCAGGCCCATCTCTGTTTTCTGAATTCCCATGGCAGAACACTACAACAATAGGTGCACAGAGTGAATTTAAACTAGTCACATCCCAAACTTTCTTTTATACTTGACTTTTTCTCATGGATTTAGTGAAACTTCACATATACAGTGTCTATTCCTAACTTTAACTTAAAGTTTTATAAGCCGTGACTGATGGGAATAGAGGGTCACCTGGGATGCAGCCTGACAGCTCTGACTTAAGTGTTAAAAATATAAAGAATGGTAACCCCTACAGGCTCTGTCAGAGAAATCCCCATTTTCTTTATGGGAAATCAAAACCTTAAAATATGTGTTAGGTAGTAAAACTGAAATTTTAAATCCTGTAATTTGAATCTGACAACTCCATTTTTCTTTAAGCGTTTAGTCTGAATAAGAAAAGTGCATTACCTTTAATTTCATTTGCAGAAAGTAGATGTTAAAGAATAAGTTAAATGATTAATGGCCTAAAAAGTGGATGGAGTGTCATAACTTGCATTAGCATTAAAAATCTCCTATAAGAAAGAAGAATTTTACATATGTGAAATGTGGCTGAGTGGTATTAAGTCTAGCATATCACCTGGATATCTCTTACTTTAATCAGGTTTAAGGCTAGTGGTAAAATGAATAATAATTAAAATATACACCTAATCGCTGCCTGTCTGTAGGACTAATTGCTGTCATTGAAAGAATGAATTGTTAAAATAAAGTAATTCTTCATTTGAGCTATCTCTCCTGTATCACTGGTGGCGTATTTTTAGTACCTATAGATGTCATGATTTTTGAATTTATTAGGAGCTGTGATGAATGATAAAACAAATCATCCATTTACATATCTTGACACTGCTTTCGAGAATACGTATTTCTTACAGACAAGTGTCACATTGTATATAAAAGATAGTTAATTGTGTGCTAATCTTCTGTATTATCTCCAGCTCTCTGATGTAGTGTTCTATCAGTAGTTAATATTAATTTTACTTATTCCAAATGAATGTAATACTTGATAAAAATTCTACTTCTTTTGTAACTTCTACCACCTTACATTTGCAATTTCACATTCAGTGTTAATTAAAATTACACATGCAAATCATAAAATTCTAATGCTTTACTACTTTAAATCTTAAAACCTTCATGAAATACTTCAATTTTAACAGTTTTTTACTAAATATGTTATATTACTGGATAGTGTGTTTGTTTTTTTCTTTTTCCATTGAGTTCAATAGTTTCATTGATCTACTGTTTCTTACAAAAATCTGCCATGCTTTGTGAACTTCACTTTCTAATCTCATACAGCAACCCTTCCTTTATGTTGTCCCTGCTCTCCCTGGTCCCAGAACAGTAGGGTTGCCTTGACAAATCTATTCAAAAGCCATTCCTCGCCCTTTATTGGTGGGGACTGAAGCCTTTGAAATTCTCTCCTCACTGCAACGCAGCTGACATCTTCTTCCAGACAGAATGAATTAAGGAAATACAATAAGATACTTTATCTACCAGTCAAGGATCTTTCCACAGTGAGGACGGACTCCATGGTGCACAACTAGGGCAGCAAGCATCTACAAATACACAATACATGCTGTTTACCAGAAGAGAATTTGTACATTTTCACTATCATTAACTGATGATATTTTTTTTTTTTTAGAAATCTGTCTGAAAATCTATTGGGTCTTTCCAAAAGGTTGCACATTTCTTTACCTTTTCCACTAAATGAAGTTAATCAGGTTTTCAGAAAGGAAAAACTCAGATTTTTAATAGAGCAAGCTACATGGATCTTGTTGTTCAGCTGGTAATATTATTAAAAATGTAGTTGCTTTGTAATAAAATCTTTAGTTCAGTAGATTTGGTGTAGTTTCATCATATTTTATTGAAAGCATATAATTTAATAGTTCAGTTTATAAACTACTCTGATTAGATACCATTCAGAGCAAAACATGTAGAAAATTCATGGTAAATTCATCCTTCTCAGAGGTTCAGGAATGAAAGGTAAATGTAAAGGCTTTGTGAATATAATTCCACAGAGACCAGTATTTGACTTTTTTTAATGTTCACTCGCATTCATCTCAGCTATATTTCCAATTATTTGAATATTAATATTATATCTTGATGGTTTCTGTTTAGTTATTGTATGTTGTTTCGTGTTTTCGTGAACGTTCCTTCCACAGTGTTTGCCATCAAAATACCCTGGGAAATTCTGATTTCTTAATGTTAGCAAATGAGCAGGCTCAGTGCTTATACCAACACCTGTTTATATCAATACCAACTCAGAAAATCCTAAAGCATGTAGTTCAGGCACTAATTGGTCCAAGCACCTACTTAAGTCCACTGGCACTCAAATAAGCACTTAAAACATGATACTTCAGCACATTACATCTGCTGAATTATGTTCTTACTTAGTATGAAATTACAGTATTTCATCCTTAGTAAGCGTAAGTTAGTGTAGTGTAATGTCCAGTTATTGTGACTGCTATGTAAATTCGTTTTAAGTAGTTTGATGTGATCATTGTCCTCACAACATCTGCATTTATTTTTGCTCTGAGTTTTTGACTTATGCCAAGAATTGCCTGCCTGCTCTTACAGAACTGCTGTAACTGGGTGTCCAGCTCTGAGCCCCTGGACACGTCGGTGGAGTCCATGCTGCCAGACTGTCCCCGTGTCTCTGCAGGTACACCTATTTGTTTGCAGTAAGCCAGTGTCCATGTTTATACACAGTAGCAGCTTGTTCATTTAAAAATGCATTTGGTTCTGACTGCATTTTAACCTTTCTACGGCCAGATGTGGCTGAAGCATATGGCTTCTGATATTTTATGCAGCCCGCTTTTTTTTTTTTTTTTTTTTTTTTTTTTTTTTTTTTTTTTTTTTTTTTTTTTTTTTTTTTTTTTTTCTTTTCTTGCTTTGCATGGGATTTAAGTTGTCTACTTCATGCTTGAATTTTTCTAGTCTTCCTTTCTGTTTAAGTAATTGATGACATTATATGTGGGAGTCTGAGAAAAATAATAGTGATAACAAGAACTGGGAAACTTATCAAAGGTCCCTGAATAAATATCCAACTCTATGCTGGCAACAATATTTTAAAAAAGTACATTAATGAAAGTTACAGTTAAAATAAATGAGCCACTTTCCTGAATGCTGATCAACAAAAGTCTAGTTTACATAGCAAATGATTTGCAGCATCCAACCAAGAATGTTGATGTGAGTTTTCTGTTGTTTTGGATATATTCAGCTATGGTTTTTCATTATTGAATGATAAATTGGAATGAGCACGTGAAATTACACAGAGACTTTAGTTAAATGTATGATATTTCCAGAAAGTAGATTTAGTCATCCATGTAAAAGGAAAATGTCCAATCTCTGCAGGTAGGTAATCTAAAATACATAAAGCAGTTACTGAGCTTGCATGCTTGATTATCAGGTTTCCTAACAGCCATAGGTAGCATATTTCTCTAGAATATAAAACCAAGTTCAAAGGAAGACACTGCCTATACAATATTCATTTAAAAGCAGAAACAATATTTGACCTTGCTCTTTGGGATGCAGTAGTTCATTTGACAAGTTAGTTTCATATCTGCATTTGTGAAGTTGTTAGTGAGATCTGTCTAACCTTGCAGATGAAATTGAGTTTACTACAGGATATTTTTAAGGTTTGGAAAATATAGCACTACTTTGAAAGTTCACAACAACCATTGATTTTGATTACATTTCTGCTATGGTTTGGAATCAATCTGTGCGGATCCTCCGCTCTGTACAGACACATGCAATAGAACTGACATTGTTCTTTCATGCTTTGGAAAATGATATATTGCTAAAATTTTCATAGATTCAACATTCATTTAGCAACTTTTTGCTCTTTTAGAGGAGATTAAACTGCAGTTTAAAAGAAAAATATTATCCAGGAATTAAATTCTTTAAAACAATATTCACTTCCAATCTCTGACATCTCTTGCTTTTATGAAAGACTGCATGTTATAGTGGTCATTTTAGTCAGGACTTGGTTAGCAACTGGTCAATATTTACTGTACACTGGCCAACACTGAAAATAATCCATGACAGCATCTTTTCCCTTTCTTTGTATTCACCTAATACAAATAAGCTAAAAAGGTATTCTATAAAATAAATCTTAGGTGTTACTTGAAAAACAATGATTCTTCATTAGAGTTGTAAATAATAAGTCTTGATTTTACATTTCTGTTGAAGATGGGTCACAGTGGCCTTAGTGTTTCTGCACCACTTAATGAATTCCCAAGCTGCACTTAAGTGGTAGAAGAAATAATTTAAATGGGGTAGGATTTCAGCCAGTTACAGTTGGGTATTTGTATTCGGTGCATACATTGAGATAAATTAAGATCACTAATGTCTTAGGTGTTCTCAACAGAGATTTTTGACAATGACTTAATGTAAGGTAACTATTTCCATGCTAGTTGTTTGTAATACAAATATAGTTTTAAATAGTGTAATTTCATGTGACTGCTCCTGAATTATCAGCTAGCTCATATGTTTTTTCTTATGTTTCTTGTAATTATCTCTTACGTAAACACCTGTAAGACATTTACAGAGAACCGAATCAATAATTCATGCAGTGTCTTTATATAAGCAATGGTATAAACCTGCATTAGGGTAATAGGTAATACACTTATTAATTATTACTAGATGTAGGGGCATTATTGTTTAATGTGAAAGATTTTATTTCACTCTTTTGAGAATTGAGGTACAGAAAAAGTGAGTCCACACTCAAATCCTGGCAGCATTGCCCTTAGTATTTCAGTGAACAATGACAGCAATCAGAACAATGACAGATCTTTTAAAATAAACCCTTTGCAGTAGAAATACTTATTTCTATGCTTGGAAGCCCATCTTTTATCTCTGTTTACACTGAAAATAAATTCAGAAATAACTGCCTCATGGTCACATCTCTTGAGCCAGCTTTTCCTAAAAGTGTCTGATATTCAGCCATTCAGTATACTAGGTTTTACAGGCAATCCTAGTTAGTGAGCAGTTCCTACTGCAGATTACCTCACAGTCTCTTGCTTGCTTTTCCCTTAAAATCACCAGAGACAAAATAAATTACCATCAAATTGGAAAAATTATTTGTATTTCTGGATAGAGTTGTTAAAGCTTTTGATTAAAGAATTATTGAGGAATTAAAATGTTTTCCATAATTGATTCATTTCTTACTTGATTACAAAAATGAATGAGTACACTTTAGTAATTAAATGTTGAGGGGATGTCTGTTTTTGTGGCAGAAGGTACTTTGTGGGTCTCACCTTCAGGGTCTTTCATTCATGTCTCAGGAATTTGGTTGCATGGTGGTGTCATAGTTTAATATCTTACGACATCTTGTTGGTGACATAGACAGTGAGTTTGAGTGCACCCTCAGCAGGTTTGTCAATGACACCAGCTAGAATACTGGTAGGAAGGGATGTCAGCCAGAGGGATTTTGAGAAGTGGGCCTGCAGAACAGAAGTGGACCCCATAAAAATCCACAAGTTCAAGTGCAAGGTCCTGCACATGGGTCAGGGCAGTCCCAGGCACAAGTACAGGCTGTGTAGGCAGTCAGTTGACAGCAAATCTGAGAAGAATGATTCACAGTTGCTGGTTGTCAAAAAACTAAACATGGGCTGACAGTGTCTGTTTCCAGCCCAGAAAGACAACCATATCCTGGGGTGCATCAAAAGCATGACCAGCAGGTAAATGTGGTTGGTTCTGCCCCTCTGCTCTGCTTTGGTGAGACCCCATCTGGATTTCTGCATCCAGCTCTTGGGAGCTCAGCACAGTATAGATGTAGTCCCACTGGAGCAAGTGCAGAGGAGCCACAACAATGCTCAGAGGGGTGGAGCACCTCTCCCATGAAAATAGAGTGAAAGAGTTGTTCAGCCAGGAGAAGAGAGTGCTCTGGGGGACCTTGGAGCACCTTCCAATACCTAAAGAGAGCTGGTGAGAAGCTTTTAACAAGGGAATGGAGTGAATAGGCTTCAGACTGACAGAGGGCAGGGTTAGGTGAGCAAAGACAGGAATAAAATCTTTGCTTTGAGAGTGATGAAGTGCTGGGACAGTTGCCTAAAGAAGTTATGGATGATCCATCCCAGCAAGTGTTCAAAACAAAGTTGTATGGGGTTTTTTGGAAGTTTGCGCAAATTCCCCTGATGGGGGTTTAGAACTTTTAAAATTCCTGTCTCTTACCCATTTTACTTTCAGCTGTAATTGAGGACCTCTGTTAGACTTAAGGTCTCAGTCTTAGCCTACCTTTCTAATGGAATCAAATCAAAATACATCTGTTCTGTCTCAGAGGAGATGAATCCATCTCCCATCTAAGACATAAGTAAATGGAGTGTTGAGAAAGATGAAGACTTCAAAGCAGTCTGTACATTAAAGGTCGTCACATAAAAAGGAGTAGGGTTGGGAGTATTTCTGATTAGGAGGCTGGAGCTCAGACTCAGCTTCAGGAATTTGACAGAGAAAATAGAATAGATGCTTTAATGACAGGTTGCACTGCATTACTGCTGACTATAGTTGTAGTTCATGCTGTGTCTCTGAGACCTTACAATATTACTTCTAGTTCTGGAGCAGGGAGTTCAGAAGCCCTTGGGAAGCCATCTTATTGCAGCAACTACTGGGCAGGAATAGCTGCAAGTGGTGATGGGAGAAACAGCACAGATGCTGTTCAGGAATTAAATCACTTTGATTTCAGGATAATGGCTTGAACTGCACCCCAGGAAAGGTACTGTGGTAAATTTTGCTGGGTAAACATGGCATTTGTCTTCCTGTATCCTGTTTGTATTCCTTAGCCCATGTGTTTCTGCCAGTGAAAGCTTGTTATTTAGGAGAGATGATTTAACTTCTCAGTATTTTGCAAGTGCATATGCACCAACACTCATTTGAAATAATCAAGTGAAGTTGTTGTAACACTAGTAAAATGAATTGCTTAATCAAATCTTTTTAAAGCCTTCCTAGTTGGCTCCCAAAATCACTAGTTATTCTGTTAACATTTGCAGACCATGTAGTTAAAACACTGTGAAATAAGGAAATTATAACTTAAAAAACAAACAATGGAATGAAACACTGATAGTAATCAAGAAAAGTTCTATTCACAGAAGAGCCAAGACTTGAATATATGTCTATTTAATAAGAAAAAAAAGTGCAAGAATTAATTCATACAACTGAATAAAGTAACCTCAGGCTGGTAGAAGAAAAACAAACTTAATTTTGGGAGGCAGGTGTGATGTGTGCTGATGGCACTCTTGAGTCTTCAGATAGTATTTTCTGGTACCAAAAATCAAGATTGAACTCTGTATTATATACCAAACTTTAATTACATGTAGGTAAGCCAAGCACTACTGTTTTGTGTGTTTTGTTTTGTGTTTTGCTTTGAATTTAGAAAATATCATTAATAGCCCTTTGTTCAGGATACAGAGTAGACAGGTTGACTAATAAGGTGCTTAAAAGATGGTTTATTGCAAAATCAGTCTCATGGAAGGGTGAGACCATAAGGTTGTTACATCCAAAGCTATCACATCAGAAGCTGTGCAGCAGAATCTGTTATAACTTTAGGTACAATGTCTTTTATAAATTTCTTATCCAATCAGCTACTTCCACAAAGCTTGGCAGCATCTTCATAAACCATTTGCTAATTGTTTTACACAATTTTGCGTCTTTTTATCCACTCATATA